TTTCCTCAGAGGGCGAGATACTACCCGGTTGCCCAAGCCGAAGTAGGGTGTTGACTTAGGGGACACCACCCCGAGCCTTTGGCTTAATAGCCTGCCCGCAAGGCAGCGGAGCGAATTCAGGGAATCGCGCCCATTGGGAGCCGGTGACTGATTGCTCAGTTCATACGCCTTTCGTTTGTTCCTTTGTCAAACAGGGGCCCAATGCTCCCCAGAAGTACAGCATAAGATTGCTGGAATACAATGCTTCGCCAGGATGAAGCAAGGGGCAGTGACTTGCGCTTCTGAGTGGTCCATGGATCCTCGGTGTTCAGCAGTTCACAGACAGGCTCTGAAAAATTCACGGACCGATCAGTGAAGCGGCATTTCGTAGCTTCTGAGTCTGAGTCTTCCATCGGTGGGAAACATTGAACCTGGGGTTCGGCCGGGGTCGAAGACGCTGGTGGTGGTGCAGATCGCGGAGTGACAATAGAAGGCGAGGTGACAGAGGTACTTTCACGAGGGCGTTTGATCCCACGTGGTAAACGGTTTGTTCCTATCTGAAAGAGAGATTTTTCCGTAGTTGTTTGCGGTCGCTGCGTATTCTGATGTCTTGTACCGCGACATTTATCACATATAACTTGAAAAAACCGATGTCGGATGTCGAGCGATTTTCGAAACACGTCAACGGATAAGCCAATGCATGAAATATGGAACAAAACATCACAGCTGTAGCATCGAAGTGCATGAGCCTTATTTCCCACAACTTTCGAACACGAACCACAAGTAGCTTGAGACGGCATCACAAGCTAGAGCAAATCTAAGATGGCGGACAGAGATGGTAGTATGGCAAATCAGTGAGATCTCCGGAATTAGCCAAAGAATAGCTCCCAAATTTGCATCGCTCGGAAAATACGCCAAAAGAAGAATAATGGTGCACAATTCACACAGATAAAACGCTGCAAACACAGTAATCTGAGGTAAAAGTAGTATCCAGCACACGTTGGTCCAAAAATCCGCGGCGTCCGTGGGTACAGCTGATCCAGTTGATTAATATTTATCTTTATGACATGATACCGTTTGAGTTTGATGCGGCTTGTGTTTACGGCATTAATGTGGAGCAGGATATTGATGATGGTTTGGTGAACCTTTGTCGTTTCGGTGCGAGAACACCACACTCATCATCATCATCATACACGTTAGCTAGAGCTGGGGAACACCTCAGCTACTGCGCCGCAATACATAGAAAAAAGGAGAAAAAAAGCAACTGGTGCAAGCTGGCTGAGCTACCGGTAAGGGATGGGCATCGTTCTGGTAAGCTACCAACCGGCTGCTGTGCACCAAAAAAAATCATTATGCAAAATTATAGAAGGCTAATTAATGAGATCGTGGTTGGAGGGGGAGGCTAAGAGGGATGGGGTGGGACAAAGAAACTCACAGCACGAACGCCACTGAGGTCGGCTCCTTCCCATGTCAGCAAGTGTGTCCAACCAAACGTGTTCATCGTCTTTCGGACCCCAACCAGGCAGCCAAGACGCTCCAACCGAGGCCAGCTCAGAAGTGAGGGCCTTCATATCTCTGGACCAAGTCATCGTTTGGCCACCCCTTCTCTTCTTCCATCCACACCCCGGGCGCGCAAACAACACACGTCGCGGGAGTCGGTGGGCTGGCATGCGTTACACGTGGCTGAGCCATCGGAGCCTGATGCGTGAAATAACGGTGCTGAGCGGTTCATTTCCGTTTCCTGTGCCATAAACAAGGCGTCAAACACGCTCGCTGCTCACGCGAACACCACACTGTGAGACAACTATCCGTATGCTGCTGTTTGCTGACAACCGTGCGTTGTTTGCACACAGCGCGGATGAGTTGCAACACATAACTAGTGCTCTCGCTTCAACAGCGGCGATCTTCGGCCATACCATCAACACAAGCAAAACTGTCTATCGATTTCAGTCTTCACCGGAGGCACACTCAGCCATATTGCCGCAAATCAGCATTGGTGAGGAAGTATTGGAAACCACCTCCCACTTGTGCTACCTTGGGAATGTGAGGTGGATTGAGCAGCAGCTTCATAGTGAGCTTCGCATCCGCGTCTCGAAGGCAGCGGCGGCATTCGGGAAGCCAGAGTACCGAGTGTGGAACCACCATCAGCTTACCATTGGCACAAAGCTGATGGTGTACAAATCCATGGTGCTGTCCGTTCTTCTATACGGCAGTGAAACATGGACGATGTACCGTCGGAATGTGCGATATCTCGAGCGGTTCCATCAGCAGTGCTTCCGACGGATTTAACGCATCGGTTGGGGTGACAGAGTTGCAGGCACGGAAGTGTTGCGACAACGTGGAATGTGTGCAGTGGACTGCATACTTTTGCTGAGACACCTGAGGTGGCTCCGTCTTGTGAGTCGTATGGATTCAATGCGGATACCGAAGCAACTCTTATATGGTCAGCTGAGTATGGGGAAGCGGCACGTGGGGAAACCGAAGTTACGTTACCAGGACATGATTAAAGTGAGCCTCCCACGTTCTAATCTTGATTGCAGATCATGGGAATCGAAGGCGGTTGATCGGCGTGTATGGCGCGATCTGATTGCGAAGGCAGTTGCCGAGGTGCAGGAGAAAGCCCTCATGTATTCAGAGAAGAAGCGACAAGTGCGGAAGCGGCAAGCAACGATGGGTTGTACTCCATCGACATCAAGCGCATGGTGCTGGAGCACATGCGGTCGCGAGTGCCTGAGTCAGGCAGGCTTAGTGAGCCATCAGCGAGGACACTCGGGACCACTACCGAAGCGACGACGTGTCCTGCAGAGACCGCAGGCAGAACCAGCGCAGCGTTTGTAGGTACGCTGCATTCGATTTACTAACCGCGTGCTTGCGTGCTAAGTCTCTTTATTTCAGGTGGTGGGTTTTCAATTTGTCCTAATGCTTTTCTTTCTCAAATAAATATCCACCTGAACGCTCTTCTATAAACCTGCACAACTCCCTTAAGCCAATTGTAGTTAATTCCGATAACATTTTCGCGTTAGCGTCATTTCCGTAAAATGGACTTTCTGACCTCCTGAACTTATCTCGGATCCTTTGTTAATAACTTATTTCATATGCTCACTAACTTAAGATTTTGTCACATTTCCTTATGCATTAGTCGATTTCTTTTCTTTGTTATCTTGCTCTCAAGTGATTAGCTGTTGCTTGATATCCACGGTGTGGCTGCGCTTGATGTGCATGTTGACAAGGTGCCTACCAGTCTACTACCCACTACCTCGTCCATACTAGCTCTACGAGACAGTTGGTCCTTGCTGGAGGGGACGGGGTGCACGCTCCTTGTGGCCGTGTTAGGATCAAAGAGTGGTTCCATGCACTCAGTGTGGAGCGGATTACGGTCCAGCCACCGCCTTGTGTGCATTTGATTCCCAAATACAGCGTGCTTGTGTGTTTACCTGTGAAGGAGTGTGGGCCGGCTCCGTTGATGAAACGTGGCTCCCATCCACACGCCTTCCAGTCTTATTCCTTCGGGTCTACACTGAATATCGGGTGTGTGGATGGAGCTGTGGGTGGTGCAGCACAAGCCATCTATGGTCCCTCTGCAAGCGCAGGCGTCCTGTGGCTGGCCACAGTGACAGGCAAATCCGAAACCGGATGCCGCCAACCATGTGTTTCAAACTAGGTATTTTAATGTAGATAAAATTCATTACATTTTATTTGGTTTGTTCTGCGTACTTGATAATCTTCTCCCAACTTACACACGTCGCTCATGCGAATTGTGGTAAACTTGCGTAATTGTATCGAGTAGTATGTTTTAACTAACTCGGACATTTCGTACTTATCACGGATTCACTTATAACCAATTTCTTCTATATGCTCATTTAGTGAGTATTTATGTCGTCATATGCGTTTACTTTATTCGATATCGGCATTTCGAATGATTGGCTGTTGTTTGACATCCCCGGTGTGGTTGTGCTTGATGTGCATGTTGACAGGGTGCCTACCTGTCTACTACCTACTACCCCGTCCATACTGACTCTAGGAGACAGTTGGTCGTTGCTGAAGCGGACGGGGTGCACGGTCCTTGTAGCCGTGCTAGGCTAGAAGAGTGGTTCCATGCACTCAGTGTGGAGCGGACTAAGGTCCAGCCACCGCCTTGTGTACACATGATTCCCCAAATACAAAGTGCTTGTGTTTGCCTGTGAAGGAGTATGGGCCGGCTCCGTTGATGAAACGTGGCTCCCATCCACATGGCTCCCAGTCTAATTCCTTCGGGTTTACAGTGGATATGAGGTGTGTGGATGGAGCTGTGGGTGGTGCAGCGCAAGCCATCCACGGTCCCTCTGTAGGCGCAGGCGTCTTGTGGCTGGCCACAGTGACAAGCAAATCCGAAACCGGATGCCGGCAGCCATACATATCAACAAAGACAAAAAAGCGATCTGAAGTGGCCTGCGTTTTCTCATTTACCTGGTTCATGTAAAGCTGTCGATTAAAACTGAAGTTATATGGAACAGTCATGGTTGTATGTAAACCGGAACTCTGACAAATCGACAACACCTACACAGAAGTTGCAAAGCGGTCACCCAAAGCTGCTGGCTCAAAAATACGACTGCATAGCAGTGGAATCTAGTCAACGGCGTAGGTGTTCCCCGATGACAGATATAAATAGATCTCTTCAGTTAACATGCGGATCTTAAAGAGTAGAATGCTATATTTTTATGCACTCTACCCGTCGACGAAGAGAAGTGGAGTGGCTCACAAGGTGCGTCATGGCAGTGTTCTATAGAACACCATGAATCGACGAGATGAGGACTGGCAGTCTGTATGACTAGTTGTCCGAGCGATAAATCGGAGAAGGGAAATTTTCGGATGACTCATGGGAAACGTCACAAGGTGGATAAAGAGGCTGCAAAAAACAGCGTCCCGGTGTATTGGATAGATAAAGACCGGTACCCCAAAAAGCAATCGGTGCAAAACAAATGAAAAACAACAACAAGGGCATAAGTTCAACGGGAAAACAAGTTGTGAAAGAAATCCCTCACCTTCGGTATAGGTACTTCAAAGTTAAGCAACCAACCTTCGAAAGAAAGAGCTTGTCCGATTCGATCGAGGTGCTTGGCAAAACTGACGTAGCTCATGGAGTAGGGTGAGCTTCCAAGAATTGTCTGAAGAGCGTCGTTTTTTGATTCGATTATTAGGGTCCCGTATACCCGGACGCCCTGTCTGGAGGATATGAAGTGGAATAATGTCAGAAGGAGGTATCATACTCAGCTAATACCGATCAACAAAACAGGAAGGGTAGCAACTATCAACGACGATTACATGAGTATAATATGAGTTGAGTACAGTAAAAGACAATGCAAATGTCACCCTCGAAGTCCACGATCGCTGCTGCCCAAATACCAATGATTTAGTGCGGTTACTGTGATATCACCGAGCAATACAGACTTGCGCAAGAGCATGGGCATGTAACGAAAGTAACTAGTGGGATAGGAATAGAGCCGGGAAAGAACTACGGCCAATGAAGTGGGTAGCTTGATTATGAAGAGTCAACAACGCAGTCTCGCAGAAATGGTCAGAAAGCGCCAAATTCGGTCAAATGCAAAGAATCTGTGAAGTTAACAAGGTATAGACTGTGTCGACGAAATATGAAGAGAAACAGAGTGCCCAGGTGCAGGATTAAACCGGAAACTGAATCAGAACTGGAATTGAGGCAAACATCGTAACGCATACAAAGCATACGGATAGACGATGAACTAGTCTAAGTAATTCAGTCTAAAGGAGAGCTCAAGGTATATAATTTAGATCAGGATCCTGGTGTAAAGTGTGGATGGGGAGATCTCCTTGACTAATAGCCTAGCGCAATCTGGTAGGCACAAAGGAAGAAAACAAGCCCGATGATAACACCTGTATGCGATAAATACAGCTTAAAGGAATCTAATTGAAAGTGTGCGGTCCCACATATGGCGACGGGGATAGCTACAAATTCGTAAACATCAAAACAAACGGTATAAACGCAGATGCGTCGTGGGATGTGGTTGGCGGATTTACGGTGGAAACAAAAATGAAACAAAGGGTGGGTGCGAGCAAGAGCTTTGCAGTCAGATTAAAAAATACATTAACAATCATTGAAAACACGATTGGCGCGCTCAAAACACTGGCTTGTGGACATTTGCGTCAAATAGCAAGACCTTGCGTCGAGTACCGCCCGCTCTAAACACTTCACATTAGACAAGTATGACCACCAAAAATAGTATAGCAACCAATTTGCGAGGCCGTACAACCACCATGACTTAATAAATGATGAATAAGAAAAGAGGAAGGAAGAGAACCTCACATAAAAACTAAGTACATTGAGTAAACCCTGATGGTAAACTAGCCCTCAACTTGTCAACAACATAATGTCACAAACAGCTGGCTATCGTGCAAAGATAAGGCAGCATCGAGGAGGCAACTTTCTTGCGACTTTCACTACTCCGAATCATAAGCAGTCATTATCTCGAAGATAAGTAAGCACCAGACACAATTTAAACGAAGAAGATGAGAACAGATGCGTCAGTGATGCCGACTGTGAGCCATATCCTGTAACGCTAAGCACAAGCACAGCCACGTGGACTACTGCCAGAAAGTCAAGACAAAACAGCACCCAGTTTGATCGTCCGCGACTTCATTTCCTCCTGCCAAGTCCACTTAAGTCCATCTCGAGCTTTGCACTAACCTATGTTCGGGAAACAAAACAAGGCTCTAATACGTAAGTTGTGACCGGGATGCGTGTGGTGAAAAAGTAAACCAAAAAATGCTTAACTACGTAAAAGAACCTTCGGGCTATAAGGTAAGAATGTTAGGTCTAACCTTCGGTTAGGCAAGGTCCTCGGTAGTTCGCCATTCAGTACCACAATCCGATACGGAAGGTGAGATTTTAGTCAGTACGATAAGTCCGGTTGTTGATGCCACGATCAATGACCGAGGCAAGCAGACCGATGAAGGATAACACAATTGGAGCAGCCGAAACCAGAAGGCGAACCGAAATTCGGTTTTTGGACAAGTGAAACAAAACTGTGCAGTAAGTAATCGAAATGAACTTAGAAATTACAAATGGAAAGACAGAATTGTACAATCTCTACTGAACCCCATCTTAAAGCCTCAATCACTGAGACGAATGCTCGATACTCGTGTCTCATTTATTATAGATCACTAGTCTGGAAGGGAGAACAACTGCACATACGAAGCGTGTTCGGTGGTGCGAGTTCGATAGTGTATCGTGTGTTGCTTGAGAGGTGGAGGAGGGGACAGAGGTGCCACACATGGACAGAGTAGGAAGCGTACTTGGGAAGGTGGACTGGTCGGTGACAGGAATGTCTGTGGGTTTTTGCGATGGTCGCGTCTCGACGTAGGTCGGTTTCAAACAGTCAATACTCCCGGTATCACGGTAACCATTTCTATGCAGCCTGAAGTATTTTTCCTTTCGGGCAATGACTCTGAAGGGGCCACCGTAAGGTGACATCAGAAGTTATGGACGGAATCGGCACGCACGAGAACGAAGGGGCAAGTGCGCAAATCTGAGTGTACTTGTTGACTCCGAGGACTGATTCGAGGTGGTGTTGGACAAACCGATCTGAAGTGTTGCTTCAGACATGTGGTGTACGAGGTCGGATCAACTTTTCCAGTCACCTTTGAATCTAGCAACATTGCTCCAGGGAGTCTGAGAGTGGTGCCAAAGACCAAATCAGTTATGACAACAGCTAGTCTTCTTTAGTGGTGCTACGAATACCAAGCAAGATGAACGGCAGACGTTCTGGTCATTGTGCGTTCGACTGCGAACCAATAATCGCGGTATTACGTTGGCGATGGAAACGTTCAACAATGCAGTGGACAGCTGGGTGATAGGCGGTTGTCCGTAGATGAGAGCTACCAACCAAGCGGCTCAAGAAGCGAAACAAGGTTTAATTGAATTGAGGCCCTCTATCGATAGTAATAGTGGCGGGTGTGCCAAAGACGGAAATCCAATTTTCGACGAATAATCGCGCCATGGTCTACGCAAAATCATTTCGTAAAGGCACAGCAAGTTGCCAACGCGTATAACGAGAAACAGATGCTAATAAGTGGACAAAACCGTTGGATGGAGGCAGGAGTCCAAGGACGTCAAGCTGAATATATATAAAACGGGTGTCGGTAAACGCAAATGTTTCGGGGATAGTACTTGTGTGACGGCGGAGGTTGTTGGCTTGGCAAGTGATGCAATGCTTTGCTCACTGCTGGATCTCAGAACGCATATTGTGCCAAATGAAGGGAAGAGTAATCAGCTTGACGGTGGCACTGATGCTCGGGCGTGAGATTTCATAAAGATGGTCAAAGATAGTTCGGCGGTATGACTGAGGGACAAAAGGCCGGGAGTTGCCGATCGACATGTCACAGTGAATTTCGGTGTACGAATTACAAATTGGAAGCTGTGATAGTTTAATCGATGAAGTTGATCTCAAATGCACAAATTCAGGATCGCCTTCCTAATGAGCTAGTATATCTTCTAGATCAACCGTCTGGCGTGAAACTGCATGAAGACAGATAAGCGATATTGCATGCGAAACAATGCTGTTGCCGACATCAACGTGGCCAATGTCGGTTGAAAACTGCGATATAATCGAAATGAAGATTATAGCTGGAGGAGAAACGGCCGAACGGAACATGAAAAGCAAAAGCTTTGTGATCCGTGAGAATGTTAAACGTGCACCCTTCAAGCAGACGCCAAAATATTTGATATCGAGGTAGATTACTAAAAGTTCTCGACCAAAGATACTGTATGGCGTCTATGCGGACTGTAATTTGCGAGAGAAAAAGTATAAGGGCTTGAGTTGACCTCCAGGAGTACAGACCTAACGGCGATCAGTGACGCATCCGTATTGACATCAGTCCTCATATCATTAGGACCAGTAGCGATGGACAACGCGTGCTTGATCATGTCATATGCATCAATTGCTTCCAGAGGGCTCGAATTTTCGTGAATTGCCATTAAGCAAATCGGTCAATGGCTGGAGTAGCCCAGCGCAGTCTAGTATACTTCGTTGTACTAATTTACCATGCCGAGAAAACGACGAAGACTTTTGAAAGACTAAGGCATGGAACAATCTGCAATCGTTTGCGTTTGCTCGGGGAGTGGACTAATACCGTCGAATCAAATCGATGGCAAAACGAAAGTCAACAGAACAACAACCCAAAACAATTGTCGACATAATTGTAACGTTGCAGTGAGCGAAGCGTTAAACATTCGATCGGTGTGAGAAAAGCTCATGACGATGGAAATTGACTACAAGAAAACCATCAATGTATGCGAAAACAAAGTCAAGACCTCTAAGAACCTGATTAATAAACATTGAAAAGTCCGTGAGACATTCGGTAGACAAACGGCATGCAAACGAAATCATAAAGACCAAACAGTGTGGTTAAAGCAGTCGTCGGAATATCGCGGGAGCAAGCGGAATTCGATAGCAGGCACGCACTAAATCACACAGTCTATCTATGGTTGGCGGCACCAGATTTCGAATTTGCTTGTCACCGTGGACTCCATGGAACAGCCAAAAGACGCCTGCGCCTACAGAGGGACCATGGGTGACTTGCGCTGCATCACCCACAGTTCCAACCACACACCCCATATCCAGTGTAAACCCGAAGGAATAAGACCGGGAGGCATGCGGATGGGAGCCACGTTTCATTAACGGAGCCGGCCCACACTCCTTCATAGACAAACACAAACACGCTGTATTTGGGGAATCAAGCGCACACAAGGCGGTGGCTGAACCGTAGTCCGCTCCGCACTCAGTGCATGGAACCACTCTTCGAGCCTAGCACGACCACGAGGACTGTGTACCCCGTCCCCTTCAGCAACGACCAACTGTCACCTGGAGCAAGTATGGACGAGGTGGTGGGTAATGAACGGGTAGGCACCTTGTCAACATGCACATCAAGCGCAAGCGCACCGGGGATGACAAGCAACAGCCAATTACTTGAAATGATAAAAACAAATAATATACGAATAAAGCATGCGGATACGCCCACATAACTCTTCGCTAAATTAGCATACGTAATAAATTGGTTATCAACAAATCCGCACTAAGTTAAAGATAAAATATTTATGTTTTAAAATGCCACAACTGCGAAAATGTAAAGCAAGTTAACTATATTGAGCTTAAGCGACGTGTGTAAGTTATTGGAAGGTAGTTCAGGTAGACATT